TCTGAGAGGAAAGGAGAAAAAAGAGAGAGAGGGAGAGAGAGAGAAACATTGATGTGAAAGAGAAACATGATCAGTTGCCTCCAGTACACACCCTGGCTGGAGAATCAAACCCAAAACCCGGATATGTTCTCTGATCAGGAGATAAACCTGGTGATCTTTTGGTGCACAGATCCAAGCTCCAACCAACTGAGCAACACCAGCCAGGGCAGCCCTTCCCCTCTTCCATTCTCCTTCCCATTTGGGCCCCTCCTTCTACTGGCCCCGCCCCCTACTGAGCCCCTCCTTCACCCTGAGCCCCTTCCCTTCAAAGCCAACAATCTCTATATCCCTCCTTTTGGAGCCCTTTCCCCTCCAAGCCCCCTCTTCAATCAAGCCCCTCTCCTCTCTGAGTCTCCTCTCCTTTCTGGGCCCCCTTCCACTACTGAGCCCCCATCCTCTGAGGCCCCTCTCTGGTCCCCTTTCCATTCCTCTCTCTGACCCCTAGCCGGTCTCTTGCCTTTGCCCCTCTCTGAGTACCCTTCTCCCCCAAACCCGGGAAAACCAGAGAGACCAGGCAGGAGTGATGGGCTGACTCTGTTGTGAGGAGGGGCAGATGTGGACCCAGCCAAAGGCCCAGAGGTTGGACGGTTGGCAAGGGGCCCTGGACCAGACCCCTCTCATGCCCTCCCCCATTCATGCCTAGATCCCGGCCAGCAAGGAGTTAAAATCACAGAAGGACAAGTTTGTGAGTGTCCAGGCAGTCTTTGGGAAAGTTTCAGTGGAGAAGGTGGTGCTAGTCAGCCTTCAGAGCGGGTATCTCTTCATCCAGACAGACAAGACCATCTATACCCCAGGCTCCACAGGTAAGGGGCTGGTGGGTGTCTCAGAGGGCTGGGGCTGGGTCTTTGGGAGGGCCAGGCCTCACTGAGTTGTCCCTTTCTCTCCTGCCACCTCCCAGTCCTCTATCGGATCTTCACTGTGGACCACAAGCTGCTGCCTGCGAACCAGAAGGTTATCGTCAGCATTGAGGTACCAGGCAGCTGGGCCCCCAGACACACTTGGGGCAGAGACTCAAGGGGAGAACAAGAGAGAGTTTGAGACAGAGAAAGAGACCCTAGGAAAGACCTTAAAGCAAAGAACTATATAGAGAGGCACAAAAACAGAGGCCTAGAGATGGGCGGGGACCCAGGGAGTCAGCATGGGGCAATGGTTGCACTTGTCAATTCCACCTCCAGATAAAGCCCTGGTCCCTGTGACTCTGGCCAGGTCACTCACCTTCCTGAGCCTAAGTTTTCTCATCTGAAGAGTGGGAGTAATTACATAATGCTGGGTAGGAGTCTGTTCCGACTACTGAGCTAGGAGGTACCTGTGAGCACCTGGGTCAGGTCCAGCCCCTCCTCTGCTCACAGCCCTCCAGGACTCCTCCCTCCCTCCAGATAAAAGCTCAAGTCCTTCCCGTGACCTACAAGGCCCTGAGTGGCCTCCCCTGTCCCCTTCCCCCCTCATCTCCTCCCTCTCTTTTCCTCACTCACTCTGCTCCAGCCACACAGGCCTCCTCTCTGTCCCTCAGACACACGAAGCAGCGTTCTGTCCAGGGCCTTTGCATTGGTTGTTCCTTCTGCCCAGAAAACAATCTTCCTCCAAATATGCACACTACTGGCCCCTTATCTCCTTCAAGACTTTGCTCAGATGTCACCAAAGCCCCAATTTTACAGTGAGGCCTTTCTGAGCTCCTGTAAATTTTCAGCCCCCTCCCATTCACACATGCACTCCACTCTCTCTTCCTGCCATCCTTTAAACATCCTGTAAACTGGATTTATTCATTTAACTAGAGGCCTAGTTAAATTCGTGCATGGGTAGGGTCCATAGGCCTAGCTGGCGATCAGGGCCAATCAGGGCCTACCTTCCCCAGGCTGCCAGCCAGGGTGTTTCTTCGTTCCATGCTGCCCCCTGGTGGTCAGCATACGTCAGCACTAGTGGTCCAACTCTCAAGGAGACAATTTGCATATTAGCCTTTATTATATAGGATAATTGCCCCCTCCACCTACCTCTGTAGAACCTCAATTCCCTTCAGGAAGGAGTTTTTATCTGTTTGTTCAGGGTCTTAATCCTGAATTCAACAAAGTGCTTGGAATATAGTGGAGCTTAATACAAAGTGATGGAAGAAAGGAGTCAGGGAGGGAGAAAGGAAGAAGCGAAATGTCACCTGTGCCAACAGCAGGGCGTTATCCAGTTACCCTGGTTTCCAAGAGAAGCCAGAGAACCAGATGTCTTTGTGGTATGTCCCAATGTTTAACTGTTTTCAAGAAATGAAATGATAAGTGTGCACCAGATTGCTATTCTTGTAGGATAAAAGGTTGAACAGAGCAATTATGTATGGCTTAGCACAAATCAAATGCTCAGCCCAAAAGTAGGTAATACATTCTAGTGATTCTTAACATTCGGGGGGACACGCATAATAACGAGCTCCTGCTTACATGAACAATGTCCCAAGCCAGAGGGGCTGTATTTATCTCCTGTTTGTAGAGGTGCACATTGAGCACAGAGAAGTTAAGAAATTTGCCCAAGGTCACACAGCTTGTAGGTGGCACAGTGGGATTTGAATCTGGGCTGTCCAACTCAGGTCCACGTTCTTAGCCGCTGCTGCTGTAGACATGACAGAGAGTGTGCAGACACAGAGCGGGAGAGGAGGGCCAAGGGGCTAAGCCTGCTCTGAAGAAACACACCCCTCCCTGTCTATCTACAGACACCCGAAGGCATTCTCATCAAGCGGGACTTCCTCTCTTCTCAAAACCACATTGGCATCTTGTCCTTGTCTTGGAACATCCCAGAGCTGGTCAAGTGCGTCAGGCCCTCCAGGAGTGGGTTTGGGGTTCCCCTATCCAAGGAGAAGGAGTGAGGGGCTGCCAGGTCTGACCAGATCACTCACCTGCCTTCCCCACAGCATGGGGCAGTGGAAGATAAAAGCCCACTATGAAGATTCGCCACAGCAGGTCTTCTCGGCTGAGTTTGAGGTGAAGGAATATGGTAAGAGAAGGAGGGAGCCAGGATGTGGGCCCCATAATGCTGGGCTCAGTGCTGGCCCCTCACAGTGCTGTCTCTCTCCCCCAAACCCCTGCCCCCAGTGCTGCCTAGTTTTGAGGTCCAAGTGGAGCCTGCAGAGAAATTCTACTACATTGATGACCCTAAGGGCCTGGAGGTCACCATTACAGCCAGGTGAGGGGCCAGGAGAGGGGTCAGGTGATGGTCAGGTGAGGGGTCACGTGACAGTCTGGTGAGGGGTCAGGTGAGGACCAGGAGAAGGGGCCAGGGGAGGGTCAGGTAGGGACCAGGTGAGAGGTCAGGTGAGGGGCCAGGTGAGAGACCAAGTGAGGTTCCAGGTGAGGGGTCAGGTGAAAGATCATATGAGGGGCCGGGTTAGGGCCTTGTGAGGGTGAGGTGAGGGGTTGGTGATTCTGGGTCCTCTCCATGCCAGTGTGACTTTATCCTACATTACGACTCAGCTTTTCAGGAGGTGAGAATCTGACACTCTCCTCTCTACACAGGTTCTTGTATGGGAAGGATGTGGATGGAACAGCCTTTGTCATCTTTGGGATCCAGGATGGTGACCAGAGGATTTCACTGTCCCAGTCACTGACTCGTGTTGTGGTACCTACCAGGGGCCTCCAGAGCTTCCTCCACTCTGAACCCAGCCCTCTCACTCTCTGAATCCCCTCCCCTCTCCCCTTCTGAGCCCTCATTTCCTATACCAGATCGAGGATGGCACTGGAGAGGCTGTGCTGAGCCGAGAGGTCCTGATGAGTGCAGCTCCGCAGCCCCCGGGAGAAGCTGCCCTAGTGGGAAAGTCATTGTATGTGTCTGTCACCGTCATCCTACACTCAGGTGAGGCCTGGGCGGAAGGTGGAGGTTCAGTACCACCATGCAGTCCTGTCTGAGGGGAGGACCAACTGACAGAGGAAGCCCAGAATGAAGGTGGGGTCAGTCTTATGAAAGAGGCCCCGTCTGAGGACGGAGGTCCCATCTGAGGAGGGGGGTCCAATATGAAGGTAGGGTCCAATCTGAGGGGGAAGGTTTGGTCCAAAGTAGCCCACACTCACAGCCAGCCTCCTCAGGCAGCGACATGGTGGAGGCAGAGCGCAGCGGGATCCCCATCGTGACCTCCCCCTACCAGATCCACTTCACCAAGACGCCCAGATTCTTCAAACCTACCATGCCCTTTGACCTCATGGTGAGACCCAGGGCAAGGTTGCACCCCACTCCTGAGCACTGGCCTCCTCTCTGGGTCTGCTGAA